CTTATTTTAAAGACCTCAAGAACATAAGAATAGTCTACTATATTTACTCAGATAATTAACAATTATGCTACTCACTCTTTATTCCTGGTGTATCAAAGTTTCCTTATGATATCATTTACCATCTGTTAGAAGAACTTCCTTTAGCAATTCTTTTAAAGCAGTTCTGATGTCAACTTATTCTCTTGTTTTTCTTCACTAAGAATGTCTTTATTTCATCTTCATCTTCATTTCAAGATACTTTTTGTCTTCAGTTTTCTAAAGTTTAATTAGTATATGTCTTGCCATGGATTCCTTTGTATTTATTCTGGTCGAGGGTTTGCTGAGTGTCATAAATCTTACAGATTATTTTATGCCCTCCAACACATTTGGAAAATATTTTTTTAAGATATTTTTATGACATTGAACTCTTTGTTCTCTCTTGCTGGAATACTTGGTATCACAAATGTTGAATTTAAGGCATTCTTCTTTTTTTTTTTTTTTCAGCCTTTTTTTCTCTAGTGTTCACCTTAGATAATTTCTATTCATCTGTACTAAGTTCACTGACTTTTTCTTTTGTAGTCTCCATTCTACTATTGAGCTCATCTAGTGAGCTTTTAATTTTGGTTATTGATATTTTTCTAATTCTAAGATGTGCATTTGGTTCTTTATATCTTCTATTTGTTTTCTGAGTCTTTTTATTTTTCCACATGTGTAAAGAATGTTTGCTCTTACTTGGTAAAACATTCTAAGTAGTTGCTTTTATATTTCTTTATATCTTCCTCAGATAATTTCAGTATCTGTTCTTTCTTAGTGTGGGTATCTTTTCCCACGCAAGTTGAGATTTTCCTGGTTCTTATGTCAAGTAATTTTGGATTATATCCTGGGCATTTTGACTCTTATGTTATGAAACTTTAGGTCTTGTTTAAATCCCATGTATAATGTTGATGCATTTGTTTAGTATGCTATCAGCCCAGTTAGGTTCAGGCTGTATGTTCTTGTGGATAGTGGTTACAACATCAGTTCAATTTTCAAGGACTTTGCCATGCTGTTTGCACTGTCCCACATGTGCACCACCCATTGGCTAATCTGGAACTTGGTAGTGGTCTGTCTCATAGTTCAAGTCTCAAAGTCTATGTTATTTGGGTCAAATCCACACATGTGCTGCTTGAGGGTAAGCCCAGTGGTTCATAAACAATTTTGAAATGTTGCTTTCCCAAGCTGCTCCTTCTCTGGAATCTCCCAGTGCTTTCTGATTTGCTGCAACTCTCCTTTTTCCATCTGACCAGAAAGATAGGGCTTTATTTATCCCTCTTCAATGTGCATTATCTACAACTGTGCCCTTATCTAGGGCCAAGTGGCAGGAGGACAGAGGGAGAGAAAAAAAGCAATAGGGATTCATCACATCCTCTTGGGCCCACAGCTACTCCGATCAGAGAGGAAGGTGTTCCCCTCCATCAGAGTCTTGGGGTCCCGATGACTTCTATTGCCACAGCTGCCACCGGAGGCTAATTTAAGCTTGAGAGAATGGAGAAAAAAGAGGGGAGGTATTCCCACACATTTTGGTGTGAGGAGGTCCCTTTCCCTTTCCCAGAGCGAGCACCGGAAGATTTCTGAAGCTTTCTCTACGCTAATGCATACTTCTGGGTGGAGCTGTATTAAGTTCAGGCTGGGAGAAACCAGTGGGAAACAAAATGCTCTTTCAGTGATACTTCAAATTCTGGTCTTCTTACCCAACCTGCTTGCTACTGTTTACTTTTCAGGGTCCTCAAGTAGATGCTCCATGTATTCTATCCAGATCTTGTAGCTACATTCACTCAGAGACAGGTTGGAATATGATTACCCCATTTTATCCAGTATTGGTTAACAAAGGTTTTCAATTTTGTTTCTCCAGGAATTTCACAAGAAACTGAAGTTTTGATCAAAAAATATTTTGAGTTTGAAACCAGACATGTACTAGAGTTTAGATTCTTTCATTTAATTAAGGTAAGATTATTTAATAAGATTTAATCACATCCTTACTATACATTTTCAGTATATATGTATATTTTAAATATGTTTTTATTGAATTTTAGAGAGAGAGGAAGGGAGAGGGATAGACAGATAGAAACATTGCTCAGAGAGAAACTTCATTGACCAACTGCCTCTTGCACTCCCACTGCTGGGGATCGAACCTGCAACCTGGGCATGTGCCCTGACCAGAAGTTGAAATGGTGACCTCTTGGTTCCTGGGTTGACACTCAACCACTTAGCCACACCGGCCAGGCTCAAACTTATATTCTAATGTGTGCTTTATTAAAACTTTTCAATCTATCAGAGATTCTGACCTAAGAAAATATTTTCATGGTTCTTTTAATAAGTAATGTTCCACGTAGCAATTTCCAGATATGAGGGGAATATCTACACTAATAAAAGACAAAGATGCTAATTGACTGCACCTTCGCTATGCACTAAGCCACACCCACCAGCCAATCAGAGAAACTATATGCAAATTAACCCAACCAAGATGGCGGCCGGCAGCCACGGAGCTGGAGCAAGCCAGAGGCTTGGTTGCCTGGGCAATGGAGGAAGCCAAGCTTTACGCCAGCCCTGAGCCAGCTGAGGCCTCCGCTCATGGCAACAAAGTTTCAATTATAGAAGCTAAATAAATCCCAGATACCTGCTTCCAGCCAGCCTCCACTGGGAGCTTGGGTGGCTGGGGGTTGTGGCCGGCCTGCAAACAGCCATCAGCCCCTCATCCAGGCTGGCCAAACCCTCATGGGCTGAGGGTCCCCGCTGGGGGGCTTAGCTAGCCTGAAAACGGCCCTCAACCCCTCACCCAGGCTGGCCAGGCACCCCAGCGGGGACCCCACACCCTGAAGGGGCTGTGGCCAGCCTGCAAACAGACATCAGCCCCTCACCTAGGATGGCCACACCCTCATGGGGTGAGGTTCCCACTGGAGGCCTTGGCCAGCCTGCAAACAGTCATCAGCCCCTCACCCAGGCTGGCCAGGCACCCCATCGGGACTCCCACCCTGATCCGGGACACCCTTCAGGGCAAACCAGCCGGCCCCCACCCATGCACCAGGCTTCTATACTATATAATAAAAGGGTAATATGCAAATTGACCCTAACAGCAGAGCGACTGGGAATCACTGGTCACTATGACACACACTGACCACCAAGGGGCAGACGCTCAATGCAGGAGCTGCCCCCTGGTGGTCAGTGTGCTCCCACAGGGGGAGCTCTGCTCAGCCACAAGCCAGGCTGACGGCTGCCAGTATAGCGGTGGTGGTGGGAGCCTCTCCCGCCTCCTCAGTAGTACTAAGGATGTCCAACTGCAGCTAGGCCTGCTCCCAGCTGGCAAGTGGATATCCCCCGAGGGCTCCCGGGCTGCCAGAGGGATGTCTGACTGCCAGCTTAGGCCCAATGCCCTGGGGAGTGGGCCTAAGGCAGCAGGTGGTCATCCCCTGAGGGGTCCCAGACTGCGAGAGGGCACAGGCCGGGCTGAAGGACCCTCCCGTGTGCACAAATTTTTGTGTACCGGGCCTCTAGTATGATTATAATGTTTACTGGAGGTGTTATATATTGATAATCAGATCTGTTTGCCTAGTACAGTAGTTGGTAAGCTATGGCCTATGGGCCAGTCACCAGTTTTGGTAAATAAAGGTTTATTGGAACATAATCCACCCATTAATTACATGTTGTCTATGGCTGACTTAGCACTACAGTGGCAGAGCTTATTAGTTGCAACAGTGTCTCTGTGACCTGCAAGCCTAAAATCTGGCTCATTAAGAAAATTTTGCTGACCCTTGGCCTAGGTGATTAAATCAGGTTTTCTTACTATGCTGTATAATTATAATATGTGAAGTGATAGCTAACCAATTTTCAGTTGTCAGTAAGTGTTGTCAGGTATGAAAACTAATTGATGATTTGAATATGCATTTGAGTAGGTGTGCTTCTACCCCTACCTCTGCCACAGGAGGTTAAGCTTGAGAGAATGGAGAAAAAAGGTGAAAAGTGAAGGATCAGGTATTATTTCTTAAGAAGAGGTATTAATTTTCTGAGATAATTGATTTTACAAGTAAGACAATGCTGTGAGCAGCTAAATGCCAAGTGTTATTTCTAAGTAAAAGTCTTTATTTTGCTTAGATTTTCAAAAATAAAAGTTTATATGATAAAAGTCACACTTGTTCCTCTCTAAAAAAAATTTCATACCGATGTATTTATAGCTTGTCTTTCTTGGTAAATTTAAACAGAATTAGTAATATTTTGAGAATAATGATTATGTGTTTTTAATATCCTAGTAACATAGTGATTTAGAGTGTATGAAGTTTTAAATGAAAACTTTCTGATATAAAACTATGTTTAGTGGGTAAAATTGAAATTTTATTTATTTCTGAGGTTTATATTGAATCACTTATACCTGTTTGTGATTCCTAAAATTATGAGTGTTAAAAAACATAAAATAGGAGGAGAGGTTAAAATTTGAGCCTAGCGAGCCTATAAAATATTTGCTAAGCTTCTCAGGAATCTCTTGACTGAAGAAAAAACTGTTTTTTTAAAATATGATAAATAAATTAGAATCTCTAAGCAATATCAAATGTAATGTAATATCAAATGAAATGCATGATTAAGATATTTCTCTTGTTTTGAATTTGTTTTGGAAACCAAAATCTTTAAAAGACATTTTTTGCTAATTTCTAAGTAATTTTAACAAAATAAAATAAGTTTCTGAAGTCTTCATCTCTTAAGAACTATTTGATTTGAAAAACACCCTCTATTATGGCATGCATAACCTGAGATATATTTGAATTGCTAACAGACTTCTGTGAGGTATCTTTGCTTGTGTTCTAAAAAGCAAATTTAAAACTTTTTAAAATTTCCTTTTTAAAAGTGGGAAAGGTAATTTATCTGTAAGAATATCTTTGCATTGTTTTATACCATCATGCATTTTATATTTATACTAGAGGCTCGG